AACAGTATCTATATTGTTATTGTATTCACAAAATCAAAAATATTACACACAGTCAGAGCTGTTGGTGGTTTTATTGCTTCTGAGCAAAATTTTCATTCTTCCATCCTCTAGACCAGCACTGTTCAATAGGAGTATAATGGTACCACCTATGTAATGTAACATTTTCTTTTATTTATTTACTTTATTGTCTAAAGTTTGTAATATAACATTTTCTAGTAACCACATTAAAAAAGTAAAAAGAAACAGATGAAATTAATTTTGATGATATATTTTATTTAACCCAATAATGCATAAATATTATCAGTTCAACATGCTGTCACTATAAAAATTACTGAGATAGTTTACATTCTTTTTTTTGTTTTAAGTCTTAGAAATATGGGTTGTATTTTACACATGAAGCGTATTTCAGTTGCTTAATAGCCACTTGTGGCTAGAAGCTACTGTATTGGACTGTGTGCAGCTTCAGAGGTTTGCTAGTTAACCTTTTTCAATGTCAAAAGTGTCCCAGTTAGTTATCACTGTGAATGAACCAACTCCAAAACTTAGTGGCTTAAAACAACAATGGTTTATTAATTCTCATGCGTCTCACTCACTCAGCGTTGTACACACAAGACTGGTGATTATTGGCTGACCTGTTTCTTACCATGATAGTTGTGACATTTTCTAATTCCATGATTCCTTCTACATTTATTAGTTGGAATTCTATGGTAAAGAAGAACTTTTTCTTCTCCCTCATTTAGTCTTTTACTTAATTATATAGCAGCACAAACTCATAGACTCTTGTTTTTTTCAGTAGGTTATAATCCATTATTTATTTGAATGCTCAAATTGTCTTACCATTATATATCATTATATAGATATAGTCATATATTCATGATTTTATGTATTTTTTGCAGATTTTCCGTATTACTCTTGCCCCTACACATGTATAGCTTCCACCAGTATCAACATCACTCACCATAATGGTACATGTTTTTAAAACCAAAAATGAACCTATATTGACTCATCATACCATCATAATCACCCCAAATCCATAGTTTACCTTAGGTTTCACTCTTGATTTATACATCCTATGGGTTTGGACAAATGCATAATAATGTACCCATCATTATAATGTCATACAAAGTATTTTCACTGCCCTAAAAGTACTCTGTGCTCTGCCTGTTCATCTCTCCCTGCCTCCCCCCTGGCCACCACTGATCTTTTTATTGTCTTTATAGCTTTGCCTTTTCCACAACTTTATAGGGTTGAAATTATATAGTATGCAGCCTTTTCAGATTGGCTTCTTTCACTTAGTAATACGCATTTAAGTTTCCTTCTTTTCTTGTAATGGCTTAATAGCTCTTTTCTTTTTAATGTTGCATAATAAGCCGTTGTCTGGCTGTACCATAGTTTATTTATCTAATCACCTACTGAGGACAACTTGGTTGCTTCTAAGTTTTGGCAATTATTGCCCCGGTTGGTATGGCTGGGTTGGTTGGAGCATCATCAGGGCACATGCCTGGGTTGTGGATTCAATCCCCAGTCGGGGTGTGTGTGGGAGGCAACCGATCTCTCACATTGATGTTTCTCTCGATTTCTCTGTTTCCCTTCTTCTCTGAAATCAATTAAAAAATGTTTTGGCAATTATCAATAAAGCTTCTATAAACACCTGTATGCAGGTTTTTGTGTGCACATACATTTTCAACTCCTTTGAGTGAATTACCAAGGAACATGATTGCTGGAATATATGGTATGAGTAAATTTTATTTTGTAAGAAACTACCAAACTGTCTTCCAAAGTGGCTGTACCATTTTGCATTCCCACCAACAATGAATGAGAGTTCCTATTGCTCCACGTCCTGGTCAGCATTTGGTGTTGTATTTTGGACTTTGTCTCTTTTAATAGGTATATAGTGGTGTCTTGTTTTAACTTGCATTTCCTTGTGATGTGGAGCATCTTATGCTTATTTGCCATCTGTTTATTTTCTGTAGTGAAGTGTCTGTTCAGGTCTTTGACCTATTCTTTTTTAAGTCTAGTTTTATATTTTTAGTATGTCTTTATTGATCTTAGAGGAAGGAAGCAGGATAGAGAGATAGAAACATCCATGAGAGAGAAACATGGATCTCTGCCTCCTGCATGTCCCCTACTGGGGATCCAGCCAGCAACCCGGCATGTGCCCTGACCGGGAACTGAATGGGTCCCTTCTAGCTTCATGGGTTGATGCTCAACCACTGAGCCACACCAGCTGGGCTGATCCATTTTTTTAATCAATATATTTTTTTAATTTCTTGAGTTTTGAGAGCGCTTTGTATATTTTGGCTAGCAATCCTTTATCAAATGTGTCTTTTGCAAATATTTTTTCCCAGTCAGGCTTTTCTTTTTATTCTCTTGACACTGTTTTTTGTAGAGAAGTTTTTAATTGGAATGAAGTCTAGCTTATCAATTATTTCATACATCAGGTCTTTCCTGTTGTATCTAAAAAGGCATCATCATACCCAAGGCCACCTAGGTCTTTTCCTTATGTTATCCGCTAGGAATTTTATAGTATTGCATTTTACCTTTAAGTCTATGATCCATTTTGAGTTAAATTTTGTAAAGGTGGTAAGGGCTGTGTCTAGATTCATTTTTGTTGCATGTGGATGTCCAGTTGTTTCAGTATCATTTGTCGAAGAGACTCTCTTTACTCCATTGTATTACCTTTGCTGCTTGTCAAAGATCAACTGACTATATTTAAGGTGGTCTATTTCTGAGCTTCAGTTTAGTATAGACTATGTCATTTCAAAAAAAAAGGTGTCTATTTCATTACAAATAAGAACTAATGAGTAGAAGTTTCTTCCCTTAAGTTGAAATATTTCCAAAGCATGATTACATTTCAAAGTTAAATCTTGTGCAAATTAAAGCCATCTCATGTCAATATTTGGCTAAACAAAAAAAGGTCCAGCAGAAATGCTAACCCCAGGTGCTAGGATAACAGTGTAACCTGGGACAGTCCTGGAGAGGGTTCACCATGTCTAAAAGGCCTCTCATGATCCGTTCCTCACCCGTAGGACCCTCTCCCTGCCTGTCTCACCCAGATCTTTGCTTTGCTAGGCTCATGTTCTACTCCTGCATTTCCTGCTACTCTGCCTGGAAACACTTTGTCTCCTTCCTCACCTGGCTAATTTCTCCTTATCCTACAACCCAAGACTGTGGCATCAGTTTCTCTAGGCACTTTCCCTTGATCCTCTGATGTGCTCCCTGCCCTACCTCTATTGCAGCCCTTGTTTAATTGCTTCCCCTTCTTCACCTTTTCAAAACATTTTTAGTCCAATGTCCTGTTACTTAAGACTCCTGCTCTTTGCTTCCTAGGGTGGCAGTTATTGGATAAACTGATCTGTGCTAGGTAGGATAAGTGATTTTGCTGAATTGCTTATCTGCTCCTGAAAACATATTTGATTTTCAATGAGGCAGTGGTTTTCAGCGTGGGTGTGCACACATCAGGGAGTGCGTAAGCCCATTTATAAGGGTGTAGAACATGTGCTTTTATTGCTATAATTTTACTGAGCAAAACTAAGAAATTAAGGTTTTCTAATATTTAATATTTTGTTTGAGAAAGGCATGTATAAACTTTATAAATCTAAGTTGACATTGGTAGTGTGTACTAAATAGCTTATTTTATTATTATTATTATTAAATATGTTTTTATTGGTTTTTAGAGAGAGGAAGGGAGAGGAATAGAGAGATAGGAACATCAATGAGAGGTACATCATTGATCGGCTGCCTCTTGCATGTCCCCTACTGGGGATTGATCCTGCAACCTGGGCACATGCCCTGACTGGGAATTGAGCCAGTGACCTCTTAGTTCCTGGGTTGATGCTCAATTGCTGCACCACACCAGCTGGGCCTAAATAGTTTATTGATTGAATGCTCCATCACAGAAATTTGAAGACCACTGTTACAGAGTCACGCAGACATTCCCAGTGGGTAACTCTTCCAGCTTCCTTGCACTATAATGGCTTATATTTATCAAGTGTTACCTATGTGCCAGGTGTTGTTCTATATACTTCACAGACATGGACATACTTATTGCTTAAAACCATGTTATGAGGTTGGTATGATTGTTAGCATCCTCATTTTATAAATGAAAAAACTGACCCTGGAGACTCAGATAACTTGGTCAGGGACGCGGGTAGTATGTGACTGGTTCAGGATAGATTCTAGAGGCCACTTGCTTAACCCTTGTTCCGTATGGGCTGCCTGCCTGCCTGTCTGTTCCCATGGGCTAGCTAGGCACATATGGCCTTCAGGAGGAGAGGGACTGTGTTTGTCTTGTTTGTTGTGGTTCCCTTAATAAATATTTCTTAAGTGAATGAAGGGACTGAGGGTCTGTCACCATCTCTAAATTCATGCCACTTAAATGGGAACTTTGGATAAGTAATTTTTTATTTTTAACACGAAATACTTTTTCCCTTGAAATAAATGGATCTGACGAAAAAGAAAAAAAAAAGACATGAGTTGAATTAGCAGTCCTATGTTTAGAAACTTTACATGAAAAAAGTCTGCGTTACTCTAATACTAATGAGCCAGTTATGAGTCCCAGCTCACCACTGACATGACTAATGCCTTCCTTTTCTTGCTTTATCACGAGGGGATGAGAACATAAGAACTAAACCTCAGATTCCTTCTGTAGATTCTCTGAAGTGTTGCTCAAATGTGTATATTAAAACAGCACCAGGAGCAGCAGCAACCATGCCAACAGAAATGATAATGGAAAAGGGAAGTAAAACTTACTAACTTTTTTGGGAGGTTCACCCAGTAATAATAGCCTTTTAAGTCTGGCCCAGTTTTCCTTAATTCTTTGGCACAAAGATAAGTAATAATCTCTCAGGTGTTCTGGGCATTAACAACATTGTGTTGTTTTGACCAAATAAGTTTATGATTCCTTCCACATCAAGAATTTTAGGGGAGTCTTGCGAGTTCTGTGTTATATCATCAGATTCAAATTATGACTCTTTTTCCCCCCCCCATTTCCCTTTTAGGCTCTTTCAAGAGACTTACTCTTCCAGCAGTAAGTATCCATTAACATTTTTTGTTTCAGAAATGTGCATTTCATCAGTGAACTAAATACATTAATATTTTGTTGGTTTTTGTATCCAGTTAAATTCCTTGTGAACTTGGCTTGAGTTCAGTTGCACCTTCAGACTATCAGACTATTTAAGAATAATATTCCTTCAGGGAGATTAATTATTAGGCCTTTCAAACTTGTAGCAGAGATTTTCTTCTTGTAAAATAGAGAACTTCACTGAAGGAAATTGGCCCAGACTAATAGCACAGGAACCTGGGCTGGTTTGGTCCTACTCTGCCTTAATGAGCCCTACAGTCTCGAATATGTAATTAATGCTCCATCCCTTAGTCTCCTCATCCTGGAACAGGGCAGAGCCATGCTGAACCTATTGGAGTTTGAGGCAAAAGGAAACATCAGTGATACTGATCCTGTCTTAGTTTAAAATTTTATTTTTGTTCATAACTGAATTATTTGTATTATTTTGGATATGTTAAACTATTTACAATCATGTTATTTATCTTTACTATTGACTTTTTTGGTACCCCCTTAAATTTTATACCTGAGCCAAGTACCTCACTCACCTCACCCTAGACCTGGCCCTGGAAAAGGGGATAAGACACTGTCTTTATTTCATAATGGTGCCGGTACCCTGGAGATGAAATCAGATGTCACAGGGCTGTAACCTTTGATACAGAAGTGCAAAGGGGTTGTTATTTTGTTGAGAGAGTCATAGAATCTGATTAATAAATGTTGTTTGTGAACGAATCCTACTTCCCAGAGTTTTGATAGAGATTATCATCATTATTACTGTGTTTTGTCTTGGAGCTTCACACTAATGTGCAGTAAAGCACAGCATCCAATAGGAGGTACGCTTTGGTATACTTTTCTGAGAATAGATGACTAATGACTTTGACCCTGACACATTACATACTTATGTAGGCTCAGCATTACTTGATGAGCTGGGTTCCCCCATTACCTCCTGAAGGTTACTTGTCAAGCACATTCAGAAACCACATTCATTTTGGAGGGCTCCTTGAGGTTTTAGTGCTCCCCAACAGTCTTACAAAAGTTACTTATATTCCATACCTATAATGTTTCTTAGCTATTTATGCTTGTATTTTCCTTATGAAGAAATATACTTATTTTCTATTATTAAATAAAGTGGAGGGGAGAGGGAGGATATAGCAGGCAAAAGTCTTGGTGACAATAAAACATTAGATTGTGTTAATGAAACCTAAAACATTAGATGCTGGCCACCAGAGCCTGTGTATGTCACACTGTTGAAAGAGCATTCCAGTGAGAAGACTGAAATAAATTTTGTGTAATAGAATTGTCCTATAGCAGAAAGGAGTGGGATTTAAGTTCAGGAATCACAACTTAAAGCACAATAACTTTCTGGTTTCCTCAAAGAAGTCTGCAGTTGCATTGACCGGAAGTGCAGAAAGGCTGAGAAGAGAAGGCATTTAGACAGGATAAGGGCACTTTGACTTGTTCCAATAATGCTAGTATAAATTGCACTCATCCGAGCTCTCATTAGCTGGAATTTGGCTACTATTATTCTTTTAAGTCTTAACTATATGAAATACTAAGCCTGACATCCTATATGTGTCTTTAATATAATGCTATTTCTATTGTATGCAGCTATAGCAATATTTATTGAAAGCTTTACTAGAAATTATATTTAGGATTTATCCCTTTTTAGTAAACCAATTTTAAAGACTTAGTCATAAAATGTCTGGGAAAATTTGATAATTAGGCAAAAATAGAAGGTTCTGCATTTTTATGAGTTTTCAATTAAAATAGACCCAACTTTCTTTCTTTTTTAAAATATATTTTATTGATTTTTTACAGAGAGGAAGGGAGAGGGATAGAGAGTTAGAAACATCGATGGGAGAGAAACATTGATCAGCTGCCTCTTGCACACCTCCTACTGGGGATGTGCCCGCAACCTAAGTACATGCCCTTGGCTGGAATCGAACCTGGGACCTTTCAGTCTGCAGGCCGACGCTCTACCCACTGAGCCAAACTGGTTAGGGCATAAAATAGACCCAACTTTCAAAGTGTACTTGCATTCTGATGTTTGTAAATATATTATTTTAAATTAAGGCCTTCATGAATTTTTTGCTGTAAAATATTCATATATTCCTATTCATATTTGGATGCATTAAAACAAATGTGTTTTTAACATCTGGTTACTTATTGTTTTTACTTTTTAATACACTCCAGTTAGCCTTTAATAAGGAGTAAATAAAAAGTTAATGTTTAATACAAAGATTATTTTTTGTACAAAATATGGTAGAAAAAATTTCTTTATTATCTTATTCTCTTTGTTATTAAAGTAAAGTTAAATCACATGAGGGAGTGATTTTTAAAATTAGAAATGTTTTTAAAGTTTATGTTAGGTAAAATTACTAATATATTTTTGATAGAGACTATCATCTTTAAAAAATTTTCTCACTGTATCTGGAAAATTATTTGAAATTTCCATTGCTCTTAGTAACTGCTATTACTAATGAATGAAAGTAGGAGAAACACTATCATGTCTCATTTCCATAGACAATTGATCTTTCAGAGAAGGTGAGATGGCTTTAGACAGCCCAGATTAGAATAAGAAATCCATTTATTGTCCATCAAAGACCTTTTTGAGTGTGCCTTCCTTTTGTACCCTGGGCAGAGAGCTATCTTTTACTTAGAGGGTATATTTGCATATACACAAAACAGACCTCGCATAACTGAGAATCAACCATGCCCAGCTCAGATGCCGATTGCTATTTGGTTGATCAAAGCCCCTCGATACTGTGTACTCCAGGCTCTTGTCCTGAAGCCAGACAGTGCCCAGTTGTGGGAACTGCATCTCTCTCCAGCCCTGTGCCCTCAACTCAACACGAAGGAGTTCAGAATCTCTGTGGGTAAATAATTGGCTTTTGTGTAAGAGATATGGAGGAACCTCCTGTGAAAGACCCTCTTTATTACCAATTCTGGGAACCCTTTTTAGTAGGTGTGGCCCTAAGAAGGCAGAAGGCATTTGATCAGCAGAGATTCAGGAGCCTGTATTACCTCTGGGGTTCTCTCCACAGTGGGAAGCAGATTACACCCGTTCCAGATCTGGTGCAGAGAGAAACTTTCATAAAAAGTATTTGGAACCCAGCATATCTTCTTCAGTCTCCTTCTCAGTATGTCCCTCTACTGTTAACAGTGAAGGGCCAAGTTCTGTGCCTACATTCAGGACCTGTTGTGCCATCCGGAGCCCACGGGCCACCCCGAGCTGTGTGACGATGCTCAGGTCCACAGAGACACCTAGGAAGGCCTACTGATGCCCCAAGTGCGTGTTGTCTTCTCTGACTTTCCAGCGCTGGGATCGGCGCCTTGGCTTGGAGGATCCCATACAACCTAAATGTTACATATGGGGCAGCGGGGTTTCTAACAGGGGAGAGTTGAGAAAGAAAATTAGGGCAACTGGAAGGAGCAGAAAGACAGTCAGTACCATCCCCTCCTGAGGCCGCGTCAGCTCCCTGAAGGAGGGTGGACGAGGGAACAGAGTAAATGGTTTTGGACCCATTCGTGTTTATTCTAATTCTCTAATTCTTTGACCTCCTGTGGCTAATAGGCCTTTTTAGCTTCAGGCCTCTGCATCATTAATTTGATAGAAGTCTTTAATGTACTTTCTGTTCTGGAGCCTCTGTGCCACTAAAAATGATCAAACTAGTCCAAATTATAAAGAGAAATCTCATCAAGTATCTAATTTTTAATACTTCTAAATCTTTTCCATATATAAGCATATGATATAATGGTTCCTGGCATGTGCATTTTCCTGAGTATAGTATTAAGGAATCTGTTTAAAAGAATCTGAGGACTGCAATGTCACTTGAGAAAACAGAATATAAGAATGCAGGTTTCAGGCTAGACTCTCAGCCCCACAGGGCACACATCTTTGGTTCATCATGATGTATCCTGAGCACTTAGAACATCCTGGAGCTAGAAGGTGCTCAATAAATACTTATTTATTAAAGAAAAGCAGAAAAATCAACACTAGAAGTCATTTGAAGGTGATATTACTGATTCTTTTTCCTAATATTTTATTATGAAATATTTAAATGTACAAAAAAACTTGAAAGAATTTCACATACCCACCAGTTAGAATCTGCCATTCACATTTTATCACATTTGCTTCATCACATATTTCTCCATCTACCTATCTCTCCATCCATTTATTTATCTTATTTTTAAAATTCATTTCCAAGTATTTTCTCCTTAAATATTTCCTGCTGACCATTTTATTGGTGGTTTGATACATTTCCTTCATATTCTTACCCATATTCCTAGATTTCTGGTGGCTGCTGTTACTGGAAAATTCCTCTGAGCTTTCTGTGGGTAAAACTGATTTGCAAAAAGGAGTCAGAATGTAGTTTTAGAACTTCAGGTTTTTTAATCAGGTGTACTAATTATCTGTGTTGTGTAATCTATTATCCCAAAACTTTGGCGTAATACAACAATACACTCTTACTACTTCTCACAGTTTCTGTGGGTTAGGAATCTGGGAACCACATAGTAGGGCAGTCCTGATTTGGGCTCTCACGAAGATGCAGTCAATATGTCACCCAGAGCTACTGTCATCTGATGGCTTCACTAGGGCTGGCTCTTCTGCACAGCTGGCAGGTTGGGGGTGGGTGTTGGGGGGAGGCCTCAGTTCCATTGCATGTGGGCGTGTTGAGTGTCCTCAGCATCTGGTGTCTGCCTCCTGCCAGAGCGAGGCATCAAAGAGAGAACCAGGCAAAAACCACCATTTTCTTGATGCAGACTCATTCTTGTTCTTGAGAGGCAAGCCACTAAATCTGGGGAACTAGGCTCTATCTTTCCAAGGGAGGGGGGAGATCAGAGAATTTTTGGACATATTTTATTTTTTAAAATATATTTTATTGATTTTTTACAGAGAGGAAGGGAGAGAGATAGAGTTAGAAACATCGATGAGAGAGAAACATCGATCAGCTGCCTCCTGCACACTCCCCACTGGGGACGTGCCCACAACCCAGGTACATGCCCTTGACCGGAATCGAACCTGGGACTCTTCAGTCTGCAGGCCGACACTCTATCCACTGAGCCAAACCGGTCACGGCTTTGGACATATTTTCAAACCACTACATGAAAGGCTCTTGAGAGCAGCATAGCTCCTCTTGGGTTGGAATCTCAGCTACTGACCTGGAACGACTTCCTCCACTCCTCCAGGCCTCAGTTTCCTTGTGTGGAAAATGGTATTAGTGAGAGCACCCACCCGAAGGGCTGTTGTGAGGTTAGATGACACAGCATGCGCAAACTGTTCTGGTCTGTTCATGCTGGAAGGTGAGGTTTCTGTTACTAGAAATAGTAAAAGGACTATGACACATACTGCACAAGGTGTAGGAAGAGAATGTGTAGCACGGAGCTTGAGAGAGGATAGCAAAGCCTGAATCTTACGCAAATGTGCCTTCAGGTGGGGGATGGCATGGGAAGGAATGCTGAAGGATATTAGATTTTCTGTCAGTGAGGGAAAATTTGCACTTGGAATAGGAAATGACAAGGTGACTTGCAGCTGAGAGTGAGCTGTGGGATGTATCTCACATTCCAGGAACCCTGTGATTTAATTGGAGAGCAAAGTACAGGATGTTAAAAAAAGGAAAGCAAATTGTTTAACTTAGGTGCTTAGGAGGAAATGTTTCAACGTTGCAATTACTTTTCCTGGTAAACCTTGCAATTACTTTCGATAATACTATGTATTTGCGTTTTTTATTCTACTTATAATTAAAAACATTTTTGATGTAAAATAATGAGACCTTGATATGTCTGATCTCTTTTTCCCCTAGTTACCTATGCACAGTGCATATGGGATTTATGAGCTCCGTGTAACTGGACGTGCAAAGGATGAGCTTTTATTCTCTAATAGCACACGATTATCATTTGACGCCAAGAGAATGACAGTCTTCACTCAAACAGACAAAATCCTGTACAAGCCAAAGCAAGAAGTGAAGTTTCGTGTTGTTACACTCCACGCAGATTTTAAACCTTCCAAAGCCCCTGTAAACATTCTAATTAAGGTAAGTGCCAGACAGAAATGAAGGGAGGAGTTCGAGCCGTCTTACTGAAGCTCTCTTGTAAGTTTCGTACACGTTATCTTAGAATTCCCCATGGACAAGCTTCCCCCCCAACATGGGATACTCTCTCTAGGAGAGGAGCTGGGGTTCCAGTCCTGGCTTCTTCATGAATTTATTCATTTGTTAACCATTTATTGAATTTCTGTCCCAGGTGCTGGGATAGGGCAGTGAACATAACAGATTAGGTTCCTGTTCACATTGAGCTTATATTTCAGTGGGAAGACAGACAATAGAAAAACACATACACACATACACATATAGATAGGTAGATATGTATATATTTGTGTGTGTGTGTGTGTGTGTGTGTGTGTGTGTGTGTGAGAGAGAGAGAGAGAGAGAGAGAGAGAGAGAGAGAGCAAGAGGGAAAGAGAGAGATTGCTATTATTGGGTTGTAAGGGAAATACTATTTGAGCAGAGGCCTAAAGGAAATAAAAGAATGAGCTCATGCAAACATAGGGAACAGCACATGCATAGGCCCTGAGGTGGGAGCTTGTTAGGAGCTTTGGGGGAACCACATGCTGACAGTGTGCTGGAGCCCAGGGAATGAGGGAACCCATTTTAGGAGACACAGGTAAGTGGGTTGGAGGAGGGGTCTTACAGGGTCTTGTTGGAGGAGGGGTCTTACAGGGTCTTGTCCATTTATATGCACTTTGCATTTTATTCTGGGTGAAATGAGAATTCACTGGAGAATTCTGAGGAGAGGCATAATGTGATATGCCGTAAATCTGAAAAGGATCCGCTCTAAGAATAGCTCTGGTTGTGGGATCTTGAGGAAATTAATTAAGCTCTCTGACCCTCAGTTTCCTTATCTGTAAAATGTATAGTAATATCTCAGAAGCTTTTTGTGAGATAATTCAAGTAAAGCCTTTAGAACTGTGCCTGGCACATAGTACATGCTCACTAAACGTCAGCTGTTATTATTGTGGGAGCCTCCTTTGGCAGGGAGTCACTGGGCCTTGCTGCTCGAACACTCCGATCATCTGGAGGCAGTGTGGTTAGCAGACTGAGTGTTTTCCTGTGAGAACCAAGTTGAAGACAGTTGAGACCCAGCTGGATGTGGTTTCTACATTTAAGCCGAGGAGAATGCTAGACTTTAAATCGTAACATGGAAATAAGGCAACCAACTTCCAGTCCCAGTTTGTTTGGGATTCTCTTGATTTTGAAACTCAAAGTCCCTGGTCCCAGGAATCTGTTCAGTCCAGGACATTGGTTACTCTTAATGTTCTGATGAATAACAGAACGGGAGGTAAAGTCAGGCTTTTAGTTCAGTGTCTTCCTATTTTTAGTTTATTTGTTATTAATTGAACAAACAAAAATCAAACAAACAGACGTGTACATAAGACTTGGAGCCACGGTGTGTTTGTAGTAAATACCATGTTGGTTGGCATGGTGCTCAATGCATACTTACTGGGTTAAACTAGGATTACTTCAGAGCTGGCGGCTCTGTGTATTTCTGCCCCTGCTGTGTATTTGAGTGTCTATAAAGTAGGTTGTCATAGTGAATAGCATTTCTAAATTCACGTGACTCTCTGAGCAGGGCTTTATGGATTCCATTCATACCATCCTTTATTTATCCACATATACTGAGAACTTACTCTATGCCAGAAACTATGAGTAGAAGTAAATGCCTGCTCGTCTTTGGCTGCTTACACCCAATTTGCCTCCTTCTACCTTAAAGTCAGCATTGAATAAAGTGCCATTAACCTTTGAGCCATTAACCAGAGCTAACCCTGCTCATTCTGGACAGCTGCTTGGTGCATTTTTATAATTTTGCCTCTCTATTTTGCTCTAGCACCTGCCTTTGAAACCTTTGATTTGCAGATTCTTTCTGCTCTTATCTCTAATTTTGAACGTCACCTGCCACATTCAGCTTTTCCAGAAGCAGTTAGAGAGACCTTCCTCTTGCTGCCTCTGGTCCTAAGGGATCCTACTGGCTTGGCTCATGTGTGGCTCTCTTGGTCCCAGGGGAGTGGAGTTTAGACTAAAATTCCACCTTGAACGCAAAGTATTTGGGAACAGTGAAGGGGAGGTGGCTATACTCTGCTCTCTGCATCCAGGCAGTGAGGCTGAGACAGGAGCTCAAGTCTACTGCCTCCTTCCTTGTAACTGGCAGAGGCCAGGTCATAGCATTGATGCGAATGCCCACACCCTGTATTCCTCCATCTGAAAACAGTCATTTGGGCTGGGCTTCAATAGACAGTGATGCTTTCTACATCGTTCAGTGAGGAATAGTTGAGCTGGTTTCTTGGAAAAATTTCCCAGAAAAAAGTGGGACTTAATTTAACAAGAGCCCCTGACTTGGACAGTTGTATTCCCCTTACACAGCACCACCCGCAGGCTAAATAGAGAAGTGTATCTGATGGCTACCGGCTGACTTTTTTTTTTTTTTTTAAATTAATCATTATTGTTGAGATTATTACAGAGTTCCCTCTTTTTTCCCCCCACAGCTTCCCTTCACCAGATTCCCATCCCGTCCCAGGGTGTCACCACTCTATTGTCTGTGTCCATAGGTAATGCATATATGCATATAAGATCTTCGTCTAATCTCTTCTCACAGCTCCCATCTCCCCTTCCAGTCTGTTCCATTTTCATGCCCCTGATTCTATTCTATTCACCAGTATATTCTGTTAATCAGATTTTTTATTCACTTGATTTTTAGATTCAATTGCTGATAGATATGTACTTGTTGACATTTTGTTGTTCATATATATTTTTTTACCTTTACTTTTTCTTCTTCCTCTTCCTAAAGAATACCCTTCAGCATTTCATATAATACTGGTTTGGTGGTGATGAACTTTTTAAGCTTTTTCTTGTCTGTGAAGCTGTTTATCTGACCTTCCATTCTAAATGATAGCTTTGCTGAGTAATCTTGGTTGTAGGTTCTTGCTATTGATCGCTTTGAATGTTTCTTGCCACTCCCTTCTGCCTGCATAGTTTCTGTTGAGAAATCAGCTGACAGTCGTATGGGCACTCCCTTGCAGGTAACTAACTGCTTTTTTCTTGCTGCTTCTAAGATTCTCTCTTTGCCTTTTGCTCTTGGCATTTTAATTATGATGTGTCTTGGTGTGGTCCTCTTTTGGTTCCTCTTGTTTGGGGTTCTCTATGCTTCCTGGACTTTTAAGTCTATTTCTCTCATCGGGTAGGGCAAGTTTTCTGTCATTATTTCTTCAAATAGGTTTTTAATATCTTGCTTTCTCTCTTCTTCTGGCACCCCCAGAATTTGGATGTTGGTATGCTTGAAGTTGTCCCAGAGGATCCTTGCACTATTTTCATATTTTTGGATTCTTTTTTCTTTTTGCTCTTCTGGTTGGGTGTTTTTTTCTTCTTTGTATTTCAAATCTTTGACTTGATTCTTGGGATCCTCTAGTCTGCTGTTGGATCTCTGTATATTATTCTTTATTTCAGTCAGTGTATGCTTAATTTCTAATTGTTCTTTTTTCAAATCCTTGAGGGTCTCACTAAATTTCTTGGAGGTTTTGAGAAGATTCTTGAGTAACTTTATAACCATGGTTTTGAACTCTATATCCAGTAGTTTGCTTTCCTCCATTTCTTTCATTTGTGACATGTTTCTTTGTCTCCGCATTTTGGCTGCTTCCCTGTGTTGATAGAGTGGCTTTGTGTGCTAGCTGTCCTATAGGGCCCAGTGGCTCAGTCTCCCTAATTACCTGAGGTGGACACTCTTGGTGCATCCCTTTGTGGGCTGTGTGCACAGTCTTGTTGTAGTTGAGCCTTGATTGTTATTGGTGTTACTGGGAGGAATTGACCTCAAGGCCAATTGGCTGAGGGGACCAGCTGCGACTACAGTGGGAGAGCTGCTGTGCAGGAGACACCCTTATGGAGCAGGTCTTGCTTCAGTGGGGCTTTGGTGCTCACTGAGTCTGCCCCTTGAGTGTGTTGCTTATGGATGTGTAGAATTGTAATCTGGTATGGTCTCACATTGACCACTGGGTACACTGGCTCTTGGGTCTCCAGGGAGGTGCAAAGTCAGCCACTGCCTGGGGCCACCCAACAGGAGCTACAGAGAGATCTGCAGATTCCTCCTCTTTGTATTTGGTTTGAAAGTGGCCAGACAAGACCCAGCTGTGAAGCAAGGCGGGCTGGTGCTGGTGCTGGTGCCGGCTCTTGGGCCTTTTATTGATAGTTTTGGGGCTCCTTGACCCAGCTGCAGCTTGTTTGACAGATTTTTAGCCTGAGAAAGGACAGGCCATTCATATGCAAAAGCCATTGCCCACAGCTTGGTTGGGGTTGTAAATTGGGTGGGGTGGGGTCTCAGGGAATCACCAGGGCAAACAGAAATGACTGCCAGTCAGCCCTGCAGTAGGGTGGTCCCAGCGTGGGAACATGACTTCTGCGAGCACCTCTGTCTGGAAGAAAGCCACCCCTGAGTTCCTGCCCCGATGCCAGACAGTCCGGTTTCTCCTCATATGTGTCTGGGTCCCCCCAGAGCCTTGACCGACACTGGAACTCAGAGGAAGCTGAAGCTTGTAACTTCAGTTTGTGGTGCTGGCCTTTTAAGAGGAGCAGCTGGGTCTCCAGCAGCCTGTGTGTCACTCAGCCCCAATCTGCACTGGTTTTTACAGCCCGTAGCTCTTACTGCCTGTAGTGACTTCTTTTTCTCAGCTCTGGGATCCTGGGCTGGGCATCTGGTGTGGGGCTGAGACCCCTTGCTCCTCCTGGCACACCTGGCGATCTCCCTCCTGATTAAAAAAGCGCCACACCTGGGTGCCGGACCAGCCCATTCTGCACCTCCTACCAGTCTCAGCGTGCTTTCTTCTTCACTTCTCTAGTTGTAGGACTTCTACTCAGCCAGCCTTCCAGTGGTTCTGGATGATGGTTGTTCTGTATTTTAGTTGTAATTTTGATGTGGTTGTGGGAGGCAGCGAGTACAGGCATTTGCTTACACCACCATCTTGGTTCTCTCTCCCGGCTGACTTTTTGTGGCCCATCTTGCTCAGCCAAGAATGACTGACCATAGGATGTAGCTATATTGCATGTCACAGAATAGTCAGTGTTGTTTTTTTTTAAATCACTGGGTCTTACTCATTTTTTTCTGATCCAGTAACAGATCTTTTCAGGAAGGAAAGGGGTTTTAGAGGCCTTTCAGCAGCGGGAAAAGCATGTCCAATTCTGCCCTAATTTTGGCCTCTTCCAGCCAATCTGGCCTAATACTATTGCAGTAAGTGCCTTGGACACTGTGGTGGAAGCTGGCACAGCTGGCTTCTACCTTGACCTCCGTTCTTGAAGAAGTTGTTCCTCCTGGCACAGGTGAATGACCTTATGTGGGAAGAGGTGTTGGCATGGGGACACATCCTCACTGTGCCGTGACATTCTGGCCTGGAGCAGCAGTGGTTAAACCAGAACCTCATTCCTGGCCAGGTGAGGGCACCTTGTTTCAGTGATTTGACTTCTCTAATTCCACATGCTGGACAGTCAGTGTGTGCATATTCCAGGACTTCAGGGAGTGGCAGAAATACTCCCTGCAGATACATAATTCAGCCAGGGAGTGCACTGCTCAAGATAGCCTGGCACAGGCAGCTGGCACTGTGCTGTGGGTGCAGCTGACGGAGAGCCAGAGCCATCCAGACATTACTTAAAGGGCATGAGGGGCGGCGTTTCCAGCTTCTCCTCATGCAGCTGTTCTAGCTGTGACATGGGGCACTGGCTGTGTGGGTCCCAGCAGGAAGTGACCCCTTGCAAATGGTGGGTTCTGCTGTGATGCCACCATGCATGGCCTGTTGAAATCCCGATGTGCTGTGCAAAGACTACTGGTGTTTCTGCATTCTCTATGTCTTCCTGTTGGTGAACAGGGGTAGGTCCAACACAGGCTTGAGAAACCAGAGGGATTATCTCATTCACTCCCAACCTTCCAGATCCTCCATGTGCAAAGTCATCAAAGACTTCAGTTGGGACTTCCTTGGTTCGTAGGGCCATGACACCACCTGGGAGAAATGTGCAGCCTCACCAAAGTGACACATCAGCAGAGAACGAACACTCCTTTCCCTATGCTTTCAAGAGCACTGGGAGTTATCGCTATTGCTTGTTTATCTTTGTCAGTCTGACAGAAGAAAAATGGTATCGCATTGTTTTCAGTTGCATTTTTTAGAGTTATTAGACAGCACATATTTATTAGCTATTTGTGTTTCTTCCTTTGTTGTTGAGCCTTTAACTCCGTGGTCCTCCCATGCATCGTGCTGGGGCAGGCAGAGGAGAGCCAGCTGCTGGTCACAATGCCTGCCCCGCGAGTTGGCCAAGGACGGTGACCTGCTTATTCTCGACGGGCTTTTGGTCTTTGGTTTTAACAATTAGTTTCTGGCTCCTCAGTCCTCAGCATTGTGCTTGCTCCTGACTTTCACCTTCTCCCTCACTCGGGGAGAGAGATTTCTGGCTTCTAATATCTCGACTGACCCAGTGCCTCAAATCAAAGGGAATAAGAATAAGGGAAAATGTTTGATCCCTGCTCAGGACTTCACGGTCTAGTCCGGAACAAACAAAACACCAACCCCCCCACCCCTCCAGATGACCATTGAATACTTTAAAGAGTAATATGTATTCAAGAGAGATAAACTCCAGGTTTCCTAGGGGCCTTCCAGGAGGTGGTCCTCTCTGCCTGTTGGAGGCAAGACGTGAGCTTATTTCACTTGTTGGACAAGGAAGGGAGGGCATCCCATGCAGCAATTGTAGAGACCGAGATGCATGAGCGTTTGGGGTAAAATGCAAACAAATCTGTAGGCTTGGAGGAAGATGAGTCTCGAAATGGAAAGGGGGTCAGTTTACTAAGCCTCGTATACTCTGCAAAGCAGCATAGAACTCATTCTGTAGGTAAACAAAAGCTATAGTTACCTAGTGGTCTAAGAGAATGATCATAGCCACTGTTTATTCACTGCTGATTATATGCCAGGAATTGTGCCGACTATTTCTGCCACTTAGCCTCAGTCTCAGATTTGTGTTTTGGGATAACACAGTTAGTAGTGGGGAAGATGTAATGGAAGAGAGAGATTATTTGCAATAGGTAGAAAACAAGGACCTGGTAGCTGTATGGGGGATAAAAAGCAGACAAGTTAGGGAGACAGTAAAGAGACAGAGATGACAGGGCTGGGAATGTCAGAGGAATCAGGGATGATTGCTGGTTTGGCTAGATGAATGGTGTGAGAGGGGATTGTTGTCTGGGAGCGTATAGGAATAAAGCAAGTGTTTTTCATACAACCCCTTGGTTACTCTATTATTGAATTAAAAGACAATGGGCTTGAATCATGAATTCCACCATGTAATAGCGCTATAATATTGGACCATGCTAATTGCTTATAGTTGAGTACTTACCTAACATCTCTAGGTATCAGTTTTCTCAATTATATTTTTAGATAATTCTACCCCGAAGGAGAATTTTAGTGATCGAATGGTGTATGAATGGTAATGATCAGGCAGAGTGTCTGACACATAGTGGGCGTTTAGTACATGGAGCCTGTTATCTGTACAGTGGAATCTTTTTAAACAACAACAATAACAACAACAACAACACAGGTTTGCTGATATACATGTTGTAGTGTTTCATGTAGAAGACACATGATGCCTGGAATTAAAAGGATGAGAAGAATCAAGATATTCTCAGGAGAATATAAGCAAAGAAGAAACTTTGATTTGTCTTATTTAGTGGCATAGAGCTGACATCTTTTTCAAAAATGATATCTGTGCCATATTTTGGAAGAAACAATACATCAATGCTGATGCGATTGTTCATAAGTAGATAATGTATGTATGTACACAGGCAGCTTTTATATAGTTAACATGTATGGTTTTCATTGTAGGACCCCAAGTCAAATTTGATCCAACAGTGGTTGTCAGAAAAAAGTGACTTTGGAGTCGTTTCCAAAACTTTTCAATTATCTTCCCATCCAATACTTGGTGAATGGTCCATTCAAGTTCAAGTGAATGTGAGTATAAATGTATTTTTAGGGGGCGCATTAAACTGATTTAAATAGGTCAGGTGGGGCAATATATCCAAAGTCATTTACTCAATGAACAGAAAAACATTAATCTGAACATCCAGACAATTTAAGTGGTTTGTTTTTAATTTACTATGTTTTTAAATGGGTTAACTTAATTATAATGTATGAGTTTTAATCATTGCTGTCTTTTTCTATAATGTTTCAAGGTTAAAACATTTCACCTTTTAGTATAAAACTGATTAAATGATGTTTATTTATAAATAAAATTATTTATTGCATAAATCGAGTATTTTAAACCTAAGTAATGAGTACATAGGTATTATTTAGCAAATTTTATGTCTCAGAATGATGACTCCTAGTTTTATTTTTGTTTTAAAACACAGTGACTTTATTATTTATTTTTAATTTTATTTTACTTAATTTTTTAAAAAAATATAGCTATTTATTTTTTTCTTTTTTTAAAAAAATATATTTTTATTGATGTCAGGAAGGGAGAGGGAAAGAGAGATAGAAACATCAATGATGAGAGAGAATCATTGATTGGCTGCCTCCTGAATGCTCCCACTGGGGATCGAGCCCGCAACCTGGGCATGTGCCCTGACCAGGAATTGAACCGGCGACCTCTTGGTTACTGGGTCGACGCTCAACTGCTGAGCTACACCAGGCTGGGCTTTATTATTATTTTAAATCTTTTTTGTTGAAAGTATTACATATGGCCCCTTTCCCCCTCATTGACCACCTCCAACCCGCCCCCCCCTACCCCCTGCCCCAGACCTTTTCCACCCTAGCCTCTGTGTCCATGGATTATGCATATATGCATACAAGGCCTTTGGTTGATTATTTCCCACCCACCTACCCTCCCCCGCCTTCCCTCTGAGATTCTGCACTCTGTTCCATGCTTCCATAAAACACAATGACTTTAAACAGCCACATCAATATTCTGTTCCCTGGTCCTTCTTTCCCCCCAACTCTCCCACCTGCTTCCTTTATTTGCTGCTAACTCCTGTAGCTCTGGGATCTAACCAGGCAGGGGCATTAGAATACCATCTGTGATTCAGGTGTTCTCCTGTGCATCACCGAGTGATGTTTGAAGATCCATTGAATGTTTCCTCATTTTTTTCCCTTTGGAATTTATTAAATAAATTTGTGAATAAGACCTTCTGTTGGAACAGGGCTTCTCACTATTGACATTTGGGATAAAAATTCTTTGTTGTGGGCGCTGTCCTGTGCATTGGAGGACATTTAACAGTATCTCTGGCCTCTAACCACTAGATGCCAGTGGTGGGCTCCCCTCTCTCCAAGTTGTGACAGTCAAAAATGTCTCCAGACTCCACCAAATGTGTCCTGGGGGAGAATGCCCTCCCCTCCTCCATTGAGAACCACTGTATTAGAAGGAATAAGCATTCATTAGCATTAGACCTGAGGTAAGATAAAAGTACCAAGTACTTAATACATAAAAAAGTAAACAGTTTTTTCTTTTGGTTAACATTTTCTGGAACCACATCCTAAAAACAGAACTTGTCACCTTAGTTAGCACCTGTTTTTTGAGCATCTGCATAAAGATGAAGAGCACGCTGGGCTTGTGGGGAGGTTGTACCAGGAAAGGGAGACAGATGGGAAATGACAATGTGTAGAGGCATGTACAAGGAGTTATGGACACCTGGAGCAGGGGTGATGGACCCTGGGGGAGTAGACAACTGAACTTGTAGAGAAGGAGGAAAGAGCAGACATTTGTGAGACTTAGGAGAGAGGATTTGTGTAGAGGCAGAGAGCCTCATGTGTCTGGGATTTGGGAGAGGTTTGAGTGTATGGAGAATGATGGGGTTCGAGGATTAGGAAGCATATTGTGAGTTTAAGGAGTTAGGTTTTATTCTCAGTTCCCACTTTTTGATTTCACTATAAAGTCTTTTGGAATTCGTTTTTGTTTGTTCATCCATCATCCACCCATCCACCCACCCATCCATCCATCCATCCATCCATCCAATATGTGTTGAGGGCTTATAGTGCTGTGATAAATACAAGGGAGCTAAACATGTGATCTCTGTTTTCAAAGACCATTCCCATGGTGAGAAGAATAATATGATGAAAGTTATATGACACCGTAGTGACAGAGAAACAGAAGGCAGTAGAACGCTAAGGTGCTGAGTTAGCGAGGTCCATCCTGTGCCTCCAAGGATGGGGTCTCATTGAGACCACCTTGGGATAAAGAGGATTTATTGTAAGGATGAGCACCAGTGTTTTGGGGACCAGGATTCCCTCTGTCTCTTATGGTCTGCTCCATTTTCTTCAAACACTTCTGACAACCCTTAAGGTGTCCTCTGGTCCAAATCTTTCACGGTCACATTGGCTCAGCTAAATAACCACGGTCCTTAAAGCCTTACAAGCAAGCATCTTCATGGGTAGATGGGCTTCCCTGGGTCAGGTGACCATCATTGGCCCATTAGGAAAGCACCCAGCGCAATGACCAGGCCGGGAAGTCTCAGGTAAGTGGTGGCCTCTGAGAGATTAATTTGTTCAGTGAATGGTGAACAGAATAAGTACCAGAGGAGAGGAGAGGATAAAATAGTGGAGAAAGACTTCTAGAAGATATGAGATTACAGGTGGGAAGATTTATAGGATTCTGGTTTGTGGACTTGACCTATCATATGGCTTAGGTAGGCGGGGGAAAAAAAAGAAAATTTAGGTACTAAAACAATTAAAAACATTTGCAAAATTTGGCCTTTGCTCACCTCTTTAGGCTTCCTCTTCAGTTAAGTGCTACCTTTATCCTTGAACTCCATGCGTTAGACACATATCCCTTAAGTTTCTTCGACTTACCAGTCTGTCTTATCTCAGAGCCTTTCTGTGCTGTCCCCTGGAACACTGTTTTTCACGCAGCTTGATTTTGCCCTCCAGTCATCGTAAATGAATGAACCTCTCTAGACATTTCCATAGCACTTTGTGCTTGTCTTGGTTCATTCAGGTCACTTTGAATAGATGGTACATTACAGATTATAGTCTTTGGGGGCTTGTTTATCCCTGTACCCCTGGGACCTAGTGCTTTGAACATAGAAGTCAGTATTTATTAAATGAATATACAAAAGCTTTAGAATAGTCATATGTCTTGAACTAAATATAATTTTCTCTTTTCCACATTCTATAATCATCCTTATTCTTTTGAAGACAGCATGTAGATCAAGTACTCATTATTGGTGATATAATATCCCCCCATCCCCTCCAAATTTTGAGGTATAACTGAAAAATAAGACTGTAGGATATTTAACATGTAATATGTGATTTGTATACATTGTGAAAGGATCTCTCTGCCAGGTTTAATATTAGTGCATACAACTAAGAAAAAATAAGCCCTTTATTAAAAAGAAAAAAAAAGTCTTCAAGAGCCACCAGGGGTCAGTATAATCAAAGAAATGTTATGCGAAGCAAAACCCAACTTAGCCTTTGTCTCTGGTTTTTATCTTCTCTTGGTTTCTGCACAGCATTAAAGCACTGTATATTGCTTATTATTGAACTTCTTTTCTTTTAGCCATTAATAATGGTGGAACTATTTTTATTATTTAAGCAGTACGACATTATAGCCTCTCTCTTTTTGTTTTCCTAAGACAGTGACAATTCTTAGTATTAATCTCAGGGAGGGGAAAATACTTACTTTCAGGTGAATGTTTTGAAATCACATTTTGTTTCTGGACAAAATATGGAATGATCCTACTATTACTACTGAAGGACAATTTATTAAAAAATGCAAGACTTGTCAGAGCTTTGATTTGTAGTGATTATGTAGATAATCACAGTGGCATTCTTAGGTTGGCATTTCTACAATGTAACATTTACACAGTAAGGGTGAATGAGTCATTTCATTTACTGATAACCTCTCTAGATTACTTAAATTGCCTTTGACCTTCAAGTATTCCTTTTCACCGTTAGGATTTGTAATGATGAATAATTATTTAAGCTAGTAAAATTTTCAGGCTTTAATTCTTTTTTTTTTTTTAAATTTCCTTTATTATGTAGTCTCTGATGGTAGAGCATAGTAAGTTCTTTATATACTATGTCTTCATAGACATGTATTTTTTTAAGATGCTAGTTTAATTAAATTGCAGAGCAACTCTTGATATTATTTTTAAGCCCTCTTAAAATTAGTAAAATTTGATGAGAACACTGACTTTTTTGGGGTGCTACTTATGCATATACTTAATTTGCATATCTGCATTGAATGTGAATAGTTCTTCACTGCTTTGGGGATTGTACTTGTTCTTCTTCTACCTCTCCCAGCTCTTTCTTTACAACATTTTTAAAAATTGATTTCGGAGAGAGGAAGGAAGAGGGAGAGATAGACACATCAATCTATCTTTTTTTTTTGGGGGGGATATCTATTTCTTGACTGGTATCCTTGGTTCTTCCAAATAGTTGCAAATGTTTGTCCCCCCAAATTTTAAAATTATGGTAAAATACACATAGGCTTTATTCTCTTAACTATTTTTAAGCGTACAGTTCAGTGATATTAAATACATTCGCATTCTTGTGCAACAATCACCACCAACCATCTCCAGAACTCTTTTGTCTTGCAAAACTGAAACTCTGTACCCATTAAATGATAACTGCCCATTTCTCCTGCCCCCAGCCTCTGGCAACTATCATTCGACTTTCTGTCGCTATGATTTTGACTAGTCTAAGTACCTAATATAGTGGAATCAAACAGTATTTGCCTTTTTGTGACTGACTCATTTCACTTTGCATAATATCATCAAGGTTCATTCATATTGTAGCGTATGTCAGAATTTCCTTCCTTTTTAAGACTGAATAGTAGCCGAAACCGGTTTGGCTCAGTGGATAGAGCGTCGGCTTGCGGACTGGGGGGTCCCAGGTTCGATTCCGGTCGGGGGCGTGTGCCTTGGTTGCGGGCATATCCCAGTGGGGGGTGTGCAGGAGGTGGCTGGTCGATGTTTCTCTCTCATCGATGTTTCTAACTCTCTATCTCTCTCCCTTCC